GGGGACCTCAATTTAGGTCCCCACCGTGACACGAGTCCCCATGAGTCTGTGTGTAGTCAAGTTTAAGTCCCCACCAGGATATATAAACCAGTACACACACTCACTCACTCACACACACTCACACAGACACACACTCACTCACACAGACACACACTCACTCACACAGACACACACTCACACACACTGACACACACACACACTGACACTCACTCACACACTCACTCACTCACTCACTCACACACACTCCCACACAGATTCACACTCACACACACACACACACACACACACTCACTCTCACACACACACACACACACTCTCTTTCCTACAGAATTGGTCCTGTCTGACAGATTAGAGAGTTTCGGAGCCCCTGTATATTAATGTGAGTGTGTGTCTCTGCAGGGCTCGAGTCTCAGCGGCGCCGTGTCCTGCGGTGAGTTAGCGCTCTGCACTCATGCTGTGTGGCTCATATGAAGCAGTTCTGTGTGAAATCAAGGCTCTGATTGTGTCTCAGGTGTCGCTCGCAGAGGAGCCGGACACGCTCTATCAGAAGCTGTCGGTGCGGGTCAAAGGTCACGACAGGTCAGTGCTGGACAGCTATGAGTTCTTCGTGACGCTGGCGGCTCGAGAGCTCGGCCTGAAGCTGGAGAAAGCGTGAGTGAACACATCCAGAGCTGAGCTGGCAGAAACTCTGGGACGCGGGGCTGAAGCTGTGCTCTGCTTCACAGGTGTGAGCCGCCCAAACACACGGAGAAACTGGCGCTGCTGAAGTCCGTGCACATCTTCAAGAAGCACCACGTGCAGTACGAGACCAGGACGCATCACCGCTGCATCGAGGTGAGCAGAAGTAACTACATCTGTACAGATTCACGGGACACTTTTTACCACATACAAAACTTCATATATTTTTATTTATATATATATATATATATATTCCTTTTAATATTATTTTATATGTAATTTTTATGCATTATATATATATATTATTATTTTTTTTTTTTTTATGCATATAAATATATAAATTAATATTTTTTTTAAGTTATATATTTAACACTTTTTTTATTTATACATTTATTTGAATATTTATTTAATATATAAATTAATGTATTTTTGTTTAGATATTTTATAATTTAGTTTACTTTGTTGTTATTGGTTAATTTCAGGTTTCCAGAGTAACCGGGTCGAGCGCTCGGGTTTATCTGGAGTATATTCAGCGTAATCTGCCAGAGGGCGTTGCTATGGAGGTCACCAAGGTAACGGCAGCACAACAAAGCAGCTGCTGCACAAACACAGAGCTTCATCAATCCTTATATATACTTCCTTCAGTATAACACTCAGTGCTCGTCTCCTCTACAGACCTCGATTGAGAAGATCCCAGAACACATTCAGAAACCGCTGTGGGACGACTGCAAGCTGGAGCCGTCTGTTTAGAAGCGGCAGCACTAGATGTGTTTCTCAAATACAAAGAGCCAGAGCGGCATGTTTCTGTTCCTGTCCACTGAAACCAGACTCTGTAAACCATGAGATCTGAATAAATAATCTTCCATTGATGTATGGTTTGTTAGGATAGGACAATATTTGAAAATCTGGAATCTGAGGGTGCAAAAAAATCTAAATATTGAGAAAATCATCTTTAAAGTTGTTCAAATGAAGTTCTTAGCAATGCATATTACTAATCAAAAATTAAGTTTTGATATATTTACGGTAGGAAATTTGAATCATGGAACATGATCTTTAATTAATATCCTTATGATTTTTGGCATAAAAGAAAAATCTATAATTTTGACCCATACAATGTATTGTTGGCTATTGCTACAAATATACCCCAGCGACTTAACACTGCTTTTGTGCTGCAGGGACACATGTGTTCTCATAACGTTGAGAGAAAAGGTTCTTATGTTACTTGTACTTGACCGTTCTAAGAAACGTTTAAAAAGCAACCTTTAAATAACGTTCTAATCGCGACAAGAAACATTGTAACGTTCTTAGAATGTTACAAATAAACGTTCAAGTGACAAGATATTTTGGGTGAAAATAGTAGAATTTTGTAAGTAACATTTAAATAAAACTGGACGTTTTTATACCCTATATTTGTTATGGGATAAAGTTTTTGCGCTCCGGCATGATTGTTCCAAAAACATATTCAGTAAAAAAAAAAAAAGCACTTTAAATTCACATATCTTTACATAAAATACAAGTACAATTGACATCCAGACGAACAAAACGTTTATTCAGCTACTCCAGTTAAAAAATGAACTTTAAAAGACATGAACATATCCACAGAACACAAGATAGAAACACATTCACAGAACTAACTGCAACAAAAAATGCAAAAACTATTAAATATTTACAATTATACTTTTACAAATAGATCGACAATACATGCACATTAATATAATACATATTTGTATTTACTTCATAATATTGCTTTATCAGTGTGTGTTTATATATATATCTGTATATAGCTGCTTATTACTGGATGAAGATCAGTTCATAGCACTAAGAGCATTTTCTTGACAATGACATATTTTAAAGCAGAGGACTCTTAATTCAATTAATCAATTATTTAAAAATAAATCCACTTTTTCTTGACCAATCACAAGCGCTTTCACTCTTCATTTTGCAGTAAAACATTTAAAAAATGTTTTTTTTAAAATCATTTTTCTGTTTTTCTTTTAAAATATATCTATTATTATTATAATTATTTCAATTTAAAATAAAGGTTTTCTTTTTTAATAAAAAGTTAAATTAGAAATATTTTCTAACAATATAAGTCTTTATTATTACTTTTTTATCAATTTAACACATCCTTGCTGAAAAAAATTGAAGAAAAAAAAGAAAGAGAAAATGTGCTGACGCCACACTTCTGAGCTGTAGCGTATATTGTTACAAAAGTGTTCTATTTTAAATAAATGGTGTTCTTTGTAACTTTTTATTCATCAAAGAATCCTGAAAAAAGTATCACAGGCTCCAAAGAAAAAATGAAGCAGTAAAACTGTAATAAATCAGCATATTATAATGATTTCTGAAGATCATGTGACACTGAAGACTGGAGTAATGATGCTGAAAATACAGCTGCGCATCACAGAAATACATTACAGTTTAACAGATATTCACATAGAAAACAGCTGTTTTACATCATAATAATATTTCACAATTTTACAGTTTTTTCTGTATTTCTGATCTAATAAATGCAGTCTTGATGAGGAGAAGAGACTTGTTTAAAACACATTAGAAACCTCACTGACCCCAAACTTCTGAACAGCAGTGAATATAACATCTGTCTGCTCCTGGCTATCAGTGTGTGTTTATATATATATCTGTATATAGCTGCTTATTACTGGATGAAGATCAGTTCATAGCACTAAGAGCATTTTCTTGACAATGACATATTTTAAAGCAGAGGACTCTTAATTCAATTAATCAATTATTTAAAAATAAATCCACTTTTTCTTGACCAATCACTTAAAAGACATGAACATATCCACAGAACACAAGATAGAAACACATTCACAGAACTAACTGCAACAAAAAATGCAAAAACTATTAAATATTTACAATTATACTTTTACAAATAGATAGATCGACAATACATGCACATTAATATAATACATATTTGTATTTACTTCATAATATTGCTTTATCAGTGTGTGTTTATATATATATCTGTATATAGCTGCTTATTACTGGATGAAGATCAGTTCATAGCACTAAGCATTTTCTTGACAATGAAATATTTTAAAGCAGAGGACTTAATTCAATTAATCAGTTATTTAAAAATAAATCCACTTTTTCTTGACCAATCACAAGCGCTTTCACTCTTCATTTTGCAGT